GAAAGGGCAAATAGCAATATTAAAATATCTCCGCTAATTCATTCCCTTTTTAAAAATATATATATTTTATTGATTTTTTACAGAGAGGAAGAAAGAGGGATAGTTAGAAACATCGATTAGAGAGAAACATCGATAAGCTGCCTCCTGCATACTCCCCACTGGGGATGTGCCCGCAACCAAGGAATATGCCCTTGACCGGAATTGAACCCGGGACCCTTGAGTCCAAAGGCCGATGCTCTATCCACTAAGCCAAAACAGTTAGGGCAATTAATTCCCTTTTCATGTGTACGAACTTCGTGCACCGGGCTACTAGTTAATACTATAAAGTACTTCCAAGAATGCTAAGGACACAGTAAGTGCCATCTAAATGCCATTATCTTCGTTTCTGTTGGGGTTTTTTTTTGCACATTGCACCCATAGGGTAATACAAACAAGTAAAACACCAATTACAATACTAGATAATAGAGTCATGACAAGGAAGGCAAGATGTGCAAAGCAGGGACACTGGATGCATAATTGGACAGGCAGTTAAACTTGTGGGAATAGGGAAGAAGTGGATATAAAAGCTTAAGCCCTGGCCAGAAGGCTAAATGGGTGCCAAAAACAACCAATAGAAAAGAAGATAATGGCATTTAGATGACACTTATTGTGTCCTAGGCATTCTTGGAAGCACTTTACTAGTATAGTATTAATTATACACTGAGTGGCCATATTATTATGACCGGTCAGATTATTATGACCACCCCAGCAGTACTTCGTTGGGCCACCTTTTGCCTTCAATACTGTGGCGATTCTTCTTGGCACTGACTCCATGAGATGTTGAAAGGTGATGTGAGGAATCTGACACCATGCCTGATGAACAGCACTGTCCAGTTCTGTGAGATTTGATGGTTGTGGAACCAGCTGCCTGATGGCTCTTTGAACTTCATCCCACAAATGATCAATTGGATTGAGATCTGGTGATTGTGGGGCCACCCAAGCAAGGTAAAGTCTCCCTCCTGTTCTTGAAAGCACTCCTGCACAATACGAGCACTGTGGCATGGCGCGTTGTCTTGTTGGAAGAAGCCATCTCCATTGGGAGACACCATCAACATGATAGGATGAACTTGATCAGCAACAATACTTAGGTATGTTGTGCTTTTCTGACGTTTATAATGGTCTGGCCCTCTAGTAACTTGAGCGCGAAATTATAGCTAATTTGCCTGCAAACGTCAGGGGGTCATAATAATCTGGCCATTCAGTATATATTACTATACATTTATTAATCACATATATTACTTGATTCAACCCTTAAAAGAATCCCATAGGTATATAGTACTGTCATCCTCACTTTACAGGGGAGAGGTCTGAGCTACAGACAGCTAAGTAAAGTCTCTGCCATCACACAACTGCTCAGTAGCAGAGATAAGAGTTGAACCTGGTCAGTCTGGAGCTAGTCTGAGTTCTTAACCTCTATACTATACTGCTTCTTAAAAGTATTACCAATTGCTTTTTCTCATTCTAATTTTTATTTTCCATAATGAGAACTAAATTCTCATGCATGCTATGTTTCAACAGCCATCATGACAAGTGATTGATTAAATAAAATCAGGCCCTTTTCTCAACTTAAGAGATTTAGATATGGATGGCATAAATTTAAGGGTTGACTATTACCAATGTCTGAAGAATGTACTTGAAGAAACACTGTTTTATTAATGTTTTATAATACCTCTTAAAACAAAAGCACACAATAAGAAAATGGACAAAAAAAATTGGCATTATCCACTAATGACGAATGTATATATAACTTATGATCCAGCAATGCTATTCCTATGCATCTACCCAAAAGAACTATATATGTATGCACATATGTATGTATGTATATGCATTTGTCCATGCACTAGAATGTTCACAGCAGCACTATTTGTAGTAACCTTTTTTTTTTAAATTAAATCTTTATTGTTCAGATTATTACATTTGTTCCTCTTTTTTCCCCCCATAACTCCCCTCCTCCCAGTTCCCGCCCCACCCTCCGCCCTCACTCCCCACCCACTGTCCTCATCCAGAGGTGCACGATTTTTGTCCAGTCTCTTCCCGCATCTCCCACACCCCCTTCCCCCACAAGAATAGTCAGTCCATTCCCTTTCTATGTCCCTGATTCTATTATGATCACCAGATTATTTATTCACTTGATTCTTAGATTCACTTGTTGATAGATGCATGTTTGTTGTTCATAATTTGTATCTTTACCTTTTTCTTCTTCTTCCTCTTCTTAAAGGATACCCTTCAGCATTTCATATAATACTGGTTTGGTGGTGATGAACTCCTTTAGCTTTTTCTTATCCGTGAAGCTCTTTATCTGACCTTCAATTCTGAATGATAGCTTTGCTGGATAAAGTAATCTTGGTTGTAGGTTCTTGGCATTCATCACTTTGAATATTTCTTGCCACTCCCTTCTGGCCTGCAAAGTTTCTGTTGAGAAATCAGCTGACAGTCGTATGGGTATTCCCTTGTAGGTAACTGAGTTTCTTTCTCTTGCTGCTTTTAAGATTCTCTCTTTGTCTTTTGCTCTTGGCATTTTAATTATGATGTGTCTTGGTGTGGTCCTCTTTGGATTCCTTTTGTTTGGGGTTCTCTGCGCTTCCTGGACTTGTAAGTCTATTTCTTTCACCAGGTAGGGGAAGTTTTCTGTCATTATTTCTTCAAATAGGTTTTCAATATCTTGGTCTCTCTCATCTTCTGGCACCCCTATAATTCTGATGTTGGTACGCTTGAAGCTGTCCCAGAGGCTCCTTACACTATCTTCGTATTTTCGGATTCTTTTTTCATTTTGCTTTTCTCTGTTGGGTGTTTTTTGCTTCTTCGCATTTCAAATCTTTGACTTGATTCTTGCGCTCCTCTGGTCTGCTGTTGGGTGTCTGTATAATATTCTTTATTTCAGTCAGTGTGTGCTTAATTTCTAGTTGGTTCTTTATCACAACATTGAGGGTCTCATTAGATTTCTTGAGGATCTCACTACATTTATCGGCGGCTTCCAGACAGTTCTTGAGAGACCTTAAAAGTGTGGTTTTGAGCTCTATATCTTCCATTTCTGACATTTGCGTCCTGTTTGTCTCCGCATTTTTTTTATCTTTTCTTGGTGCACCCTCTAGTGGTCTTTGTGCGCAGTCTTGTTGTAGTTAAGCCTCGATTGTTGTTGGCAATACCGGGGGTGATTTGACCTCCAGGCTAACTGGCTATGAGAGTCCTATTTGTAGTAACCTTAAACTAGAAGCTATCCAAACATCTGTACCCATCAACAGCAGAGGAGGTATATAAATTGTGTTATAGACCACAACTAAATACAAAATAATGAGAATGAATTTCCCATAATTGTATACAACAGTACGAACAAATCTCACAAATAGGATGTTAATGAAAGAAGCCACACACAAAGTATATGTCCTGTATGACCCCATCTACGTGAAATACTAGGCAAAACTAATCAGTGCTACTGGAGTGGCTTCCCATGAAGTGGGTTAGTGAAAGGGAAGCTACGGGAAGCTGGTAATGTTCTGCTTCTTACCTGGGTGGTGGTCACTCAAGTGTGTTTAGTTTGTGAAAATTCATCAAGTGTACACTATGGTATGTATATTTTTCTGCATATATATTATTCTATAAAAAGTTAAGTGGAAGTTGATCATTTTAAACATCTGGTCTATAAATTTAATGAATTATGAAGAGAAATAATTGCATTGTCATCATCAGCTAATATCTGAGTGCTAATCATGTGGCAGGTACTATATCAAAAGCTTTACATGAGTGAATCTCATTTAATTCTCACAAAAACATCTTACAGAGATAGGCACTATTATTAACTTCATTTTCCAATGAGAAACTAAGGCTCAGATTCATTAAGTAATATGTTACAGCAGAAAAACCAAACTCAGACGATCCTAACTCTAGGGAATATATTAAACATCTAGCTATATTAAATTACAGGTAAAGGTGAATTCAGGCAATGTCAAGGCAAGAGAGACACACTGGTCTTGAAACTTACTCTATGTAAACGTTCACTCATATTATTTTCCAGATAGAACCTTCAACTAGAAGAAACACTAGCCAAATTAAGGTGTAACAAGCAATACCCTAGACCAGCGGTTCTCAATCTATGGGTCACGACCCCTTTGGCAGTCGAACGACCCTCTCACAAGGGTCGCCTAAGACCATCGGAAAACACACATATAATTACATATTGTTTTTGTGATTAATCACTATGCTTTAATTATGTTCAATTTGTAACAATGAAAATACATCCTGCATATCAGATATTTACATTATGATTCATAACAGTAGCAAAATTACAGTTATGAAGTAGCAACGAAAATAATTTTATGGTTGGGGGTCACCACAACATGAGGAACTGTATTAAAGGGTCGCGGCATTAGGAAGGTTAAGAACCACTGCCCTAGACAATTTATTCCCACAATCAAATCAACTCTTTAGTTGTAGCATACTCATTCAGACCTGAGAAATATGTTAAAAGATTTCTAAAAACAAAACCTACTTTTCTAACTTCATTCTGTCCCTTAAGATTTTTTTACTCCAGTAACATAAGTATGTCTTTAAGAAAATATAACATGGCAGAATACAGTGGGGCCTTCACTTACGAGTTTAATTCGTTCAGAGACCGAGCTCGTTAAGGAGCTCGTTAACTCAAATTACTCTATCAACTCATTGCAAAAAGTCAGCCGAGAGACAACTGGTATCTCAAAAAACTCGTTAGTTGGGACACTCGTAAGTCAAGGCCCCACTGTATAAGTACAGCCAAACTTTAACACATCATTACTCTTTAACTATGCTATGTCAGTAGAGTTGTATCTGAGAATAAGCTTATGAGTCATCCACAATGCAGAATTACCAAGCAGGATCCATGAATGGAAACAGACAAATGCACTATATAATAAAGCTTTAACAAAGGTAACACAGGGAAAATATTTCCATAGTTATAGCATTTGGCAATTTACCAACATTAAATTTACCTCTTTGGAGGGGGAAGCGGGAGAGGTGAAAATTGTCATCCAATAGGACCATACAAACATAACAAAGAACAGATGAAAAGCCACAAGGTAAACAACGGCCTTTCCTGGTAAATAAAAACAAATAATATTTCATTGAATCCTGGTGAAAACAGAAAAAAGCATTACATTAAAACACAATATTTAGGGTCAGGAGGTTTAACCTAATAAAAAATAATTAAAACACACTAAAGATATAAAATATATAAAGTCCTTTATCTGCATGATGTAATATTACAGATATGAAGGTGCATTCTGTATTTAAGAGCATGGTTTATAGTTTCTGTAATATTAGTCTGAGATGAGATTTGATTTTATTGAGTTGCTGAAGATATAAGTTGAAACACCTCTTTCACTGGTTGCATTTCAAGCTCTTCTAAAAGTTAGATTTTCAATGACTTAAACCAGATTCCATTACTATGAACATTAAATCCAGTGCTATGGATATTAAATAAATGTTCTATTACTATGAACATTAAATATGAACTGAAAATAAAGGAAGTTCATAACACAGCAAATAATCATTACATTAGAAAAATTTAATTCTTGGATTGTTCAGAAAGATATCCTAAATTTCATTCTCCTTTCAACATAGGGTAATCAAAAATTTCAGCCACTTTGAATTTCTGTCATAACTCTTTCCCAAGTAAATTAGTGTAAGACTACAACATCTTTATCTCCAAATATTAACTCACTGTTGGGTTCTGTAGTTTTCTATTTGGAAGAAGTGAGAATGATTTCCACAAGAAGCAAGAACTATCTACCAGGTACTTAAATTCTAAGTTTAGAATTCAACATCACAAACCCACTAAAAAAACACAAGTATGCCCAACCTGTGTGGCTCACTCGTTGAACGTTGACCCATGAACCAAGTGGTCACTGGTTCAATTCCTGGTCAGGGCACATGCCCGGGTTTCAGGTTCAATCCCCAGTAGAAGATGTGCAGGAGGCAGCCAATCGGTGTTTCTCTCTCATCGATGTTTTTATCTCTCTATCCCTCTCCCTTCCTCTCTCACTAAAATCAATAGAAATATATTTTTTTAAAAGTTTGTTCTACCCATTTTAAATTTCAGATCAAATACTACTTCTTCCACAAAAACCTTCTCCATTACCTTATGAATTCATTACCCCTTCATACTCTACTCCCCAAATAATTTGCTCAGACTTCAATAAACCACTAGATTCATTAAAGTTAGTTGCTTAATATTTATGAGCTAATATAATAAATGCAAAACACGACAATGCCTGGCACATAATAAATCCTGTTCTTCCTTTGGTCTGAGGTTATTTTTCCTTATGTTTTTGGTTTTAAAAAAGTTTCTTTAAAAATAAAATAAAAAATTGTCAACTCAGAGACCTAAAGTAACCACAAAGGATGGTCTGAAATTAAACTTTAACTAAAAGCAGTTATGGTGGGCAGTTATGTCCTAGGCCTGTATATTCACTGACAAGGTCATACTTTACCTTAACTGAGACTATCTGTCTTTTTGCATCTATGATAACATACTCTTGAAGTGTCTGGGTAACTTGTACCTTCCCTTTTTCTGGACCCCCTGGGGCACAACCAAATGTGCTGAGCGCCAGGGCAGATACCATAACCTCCTCTTATGTTCAAATTTGCCTTATTTTCATTTCCATTAAAACTGATGGTAATCCTCATTGAAAATCCTGGATTCTCAAAATCGGTACTTTGTATCATCTCTGTTCCCTCCAGTGTTCTACCCAGTGGATTCAATACAATTTCTTTACTTGCTTTTTTCCTTTGGAAAAGCATGCTGGAGCTCAGTCTCCTACTGTTATACCAACTGTCAACTTCTTAACTCACTTCACTGATTTATACTTTTGCCTGGCCTGATATTCAATCAAGTCTATTAATCCTCATCTACAGAATATCATATAGCTTTGAAATAAATGGTAACCTAGAATTACTTTAAACTTGGTCATTTAGTTACTTACACTACGACCAAAATATAAAACAATATACTCCAAAAATATGTTAAAAAACATTTAACATATTTTCAGAATATTTCAGCTCTCCATAAGAATAAAAACAAAATGGCTTTTGCTTTTAAAAATTGTAACCCTCAGTTACAAAACAGGTAAAATAAATCTCTCAGTATGATGCCGGTAACATAGTAAATACTTAACAGATCATTATTATTATCAAGTTGATATAGGAAAGGGGCATTAGAGCTATATAAATTAACTAAAGTCAAACAAAGTTAAGTCAGGGGCCTGCTACATGCTGTCTGACACAAAACTCAGCTGACTGGAGATGCAAGCAGATCATGAAGAGCCTCTGGACAAAGAAAATTCCTGCAAAGATTAACAGCTTCTCACCCATACCTTATCATTTACACACACACCATAAAGCAGTGGTTCTCAACCTGTGGGTCGCGACCCCTTTGGGGGTCGAACGACCCTTTCACAGGGGTCGCCTAAGACCATCGGAAAACACATATATAATTACATATTGTTTTGTGATTAATCACTGTGCTTTAATTATGTTCAATTTGTAACAATGAAATTGGGGGTCACCACAACATGAGGAACTGTATTAAAGGGTCGCGGCATTAGGAAGGTTGAGAACCACTGCCATAAAGGGAAAACACAATGCCACAAAATATACCTTGTAAAGGTTAGAGTTAATCTCAACCTTTTCCCACTCTCTATTTCCCCATACCAGCAATTTTCCATAGAAACTACAAACAGATGTAAGTCAACCTGTAGAGATGGTTGGGATCTATCTTCCTTCTTTGGTGAGGAGAGTCCAGTAGAGTGGTTTTTCTTGCTTGTCCCCTCTACTCAATAAAACCTGCTTTTCCACTTTAACCTCTTCTCTGGCTCTAGTCTTGAATTCTTTTCTGCTCCAAGCCCAAATAACCTCTTGGCTCTGGGTTCAAGTTGCCACTCGAGACTTGCCCCTCCAGCATCAAAATTATGATGCAGCCTGGCTAGTGTAGCTCAGTGGTTGAGCATCAACCTATGATCCAGGAGGTCATGATTCGGTTCCCAGTCAGGGCACATACCTGGGTGTGGGCTCGATCCCCAGTAGGGGGAGTGCAGGAGGCAGTCGATAGATGATTCTCTCTCATCATTGATGTTTCTCTCTCTCCCTCTCCCTTCCTCTCTGAAATCAATAAAAACATACTTTAAAAAATATGATGTAAAGAATAAAAAATATTGCTTTTAAGTAAGTTTGAATCAATTTGATTGCTAATAACAAACTTCTGGTCATATATATGCTGGAAGAAATATATAAAGTAAAAGTTACCTAAGCAAATTAAATCAAAGCTGAAAGAAAAACTGAACCTATAAATCAAAATATCTGATTCAAATATCATCTATAACTGAATTAAAGACTAATAAGCAAACAAAAAACATCATCAAAACACTCTTTGGAAGACATGGGGAAAATAGCCCCAAGAAATAATGATACAAGTTTAAAATTCTGTTGTAAGAATTTCAGAAATTCTCTGCATTCTGTATGTGCGTATTCAACATATGGAAAACAGTACTGATTTAAAGGAAGAAAAGCATGTCTACCAAGATTGAGTTTGTTCTGTTAATGAGAAACCAGATTCAAAGGTAACTTGAGATTTACATGAATGCCTAATTATTTCCAGTAATAAGGATAAATATTAATTTCTAACTATTCAACTGTTCTAGAAATCCTCTGGATTTCCATATCTCAAATCAAATTTTAATTTTGAAATTTGATCTCAATAGGTAGAAAAATTTATTTTATCTCAGTGAATTTTGAGCAAATATTCTTCTCAAAATATTGTCATTGACTAGTCATTATAAAAACTTTAATTCCCTTTCAAAATGAACAAGCAATCTTCATTTTTACAGTCTGCCTATTTAACTAATTGTCAGTGCTATTTTTAACAAATGCACAAACAAAAAAAAATAAAATTCCTTCCTCCACCCTAGCTAAAACTGATATTAAATATCTAAACTATTACTATAGAATTCTAAAGTCTATACAAGGCAGAAATATATATATAAGTATACCAAAGAAGTTTGGGTACTAGGTGCCTTACAAAATAACAACTAACTAATAGTGCAAAGAAGAATATATTGAGCCCTAGCCGGTTTGGCTCAGTGGATAGATCGATGGCCTCTGGACTGAAGGGTCCCAGGTTCGATTCCGGTCAAGGGCACATGCCCATGTTGTGGGCCCAATCCCCAATAGAGGGTGTGCAGGAAGCAGCCAATCAATGATGCTCTCATCATTGATGTTTCTATCTCTCTCTCCCTCTCTCTTCCTCTCTGAAATCAATAAACATATATTTTTTTAAAAAAGAATATATTGAATGTATAGAAATAAACCCAGTATTACATCTCATTTTAGTTACTTAAGCTTAAAATATATATTGTCTTTCTAAAAATAAAAGCACAAATAGTCATCACTAAATAAAAAGTAGGAAGGTTGCAATTATGATACCATAAGAAGTCTACTTAAACTGAGACTAAAAGTGTCTTACCATTTTCTCCATTTCCAGAAAGAGTAACTAGAATAAAAGAAAAAACAATGAATAAATATACTTTAAACATTTTGTACATAAGTTTTATCGCCAGTTGACTATTCATCTTAATATCATTTTCTTTTTTCTTTTTTAAATATATTTTATTGATTTTTTACAGAGAGGAAGGGAGAGAGATAGAGAGTTAGAAACATCGATAAGAGAGAAACATCGATCAGCTGCCTCCTGCACATCTCCTACTGGGGATGTGCCCGCAACCAAGGTACATGCCCTTGACCGGAATCGAACCTGGGACCTTTCAGTCCGCAGGCCAACGCTCTATCCACTAAGCCAAACCGGTTTCGGCTTAATATCATTTTCATAAAAACAAAGTTTAGTTATAAAATGTAAACACTAATACAACTTTAGAATTGCACAAAAGTCCTAAAAACACTAAAATGCTAAAATTCAAATTATTTATCATTAACACTGCACATTACACATTTTTTCCAGACCTTTGTTCATTTTAAGTGTATCCATATGTTTATAGTTTGAAGTATCTTTAGCTCTTTCCTTAATGCTACCTAAAGAATGAACAGGAATCTCCTCTATGGCACTCAGAGTTATTTAGTCTGTGATGTATCTCTATAGAGGTTTTTAAATAATTTATTTGGTATCATATTTGTATCTCTTTGTTTTTACAATGAAAATCTTAGTTCCTAATTAATTTACTTATTTGTTTTTTCCTAAAATATACATAAAATAGTTTAAAAACTGCATACTAGTTTAAGATTTCTTTGCAACTTTTAAATTTATTTGGCTTGGCTTTAAACTATATCCCACTAAGGAGTACTATGTTCAAAAGTCATTTGAAATAATTCTTTCCTGTGTGTAGTGATAGTATAAAATCAAGTTCATTTTTGCCCCAACCGGTTTGGCTCAGTGGATAGAGCGTCGGCCTGCGGACTGAAGGGTCCGAGGTTCGATTCTGGCCAAGGTCATGTACCTTGGTTGCAGGCACATCCCCAGTGGCGGGTGTGCTGGAGGCAGCTGATCGATGTCTCTCTCTCATCGATGTTTCTAACTCTCTATCCCTCACCCTTCCTCTCTGTAAAAAAAAAAAAAAAAAAAAAAAATCAAGTTCATTTTTAAAAAGAAAAAATAATTTAAAAATTAAGTTCATTTATTTCATGATTTCAAACTGAACTGTTTGCTTTTATTTCCCTCTTTTATTTTTTTCAATCTGAATAATCTGAATAAAGTATCAATGGTTTAAAAGTCAAAACTCTATAAAGAGGTACTCAGAAAGGCCTGGCTTTTATTCCTCATCCCAAGTAATCATTTTTATTAATGTCTGTTTTATCCTTCTAATATTTCTTTTAGCAAAATAAGCAAGTAAGTACACACAGGGTGAGGTAAAAGTAGGTTTACACAGTTGTTTATATGGAAAATAATACATTAATAAATAATAATACAAGTATAAGCTCTGTGTTTCCTATACTCACAATTGTAAACCTACTTTTATCCACCCTATATTTCCCGTTTCTCCATTTATAAACCATTCCACACCTTTTTTCCCATCATTATACATGAATACATGGACACAATCATGGCTTGTTTGTAAAGCACTGCACAGTACTCCATTGTATGGGAGTTCCAGTAATACGATTAGGCCTCTATTGATAGACATCTGGGTTGTCTATAATCTTCTGCTGCTACAAATGATGTGGCAATAAATAATTTTATGCATGTGTCATTTATGGAAGTTTATTTTCAGTGTAGATTCCTAATAGTAGGATTACTGGACCAAAAGTAAATCTGTCCACTTATCCCCAAAATCCCTGTTTTAGGGGCTGTACCATTTTATACTCCTACCAGTGCTTTAGCAATGTCACCATCAGAAAGGTCCTAGGCTGGCCCTGGCTGGTATGTACAATGGTTAGAGCACTGGCCTGCCCACTGAAGGGTCTTGGGTTTGAATCCCAGTCAAGGGCACGTACTTAGGTTGCAGGATCAAGCCCTGCCCTGGTTGGGGCAAGTGCAGGAGGCAATCGATGTGTCTCTGTCACATTAATGTTTCTCTCTCCCTTTCTTCCTCCCTCCCTGCCTTCCTCTCTAAAACCCAATGGGGAAAATATCCTCAGGTGAGGATTTTAAAGAGAGAGATAGAGAGAGAGAGAGAGAGAGAGAGAGAGAGAGAGAGAGAGAGAGAGAGAGAAGGGAGGAAAGAAGGAAGGAAAAGAGAGAAAGAAAGAAAGAGAGAAAGAAAGAAAGAGAAAGAGAGAAAGAAGGAAGGAAGGAAGGAAGGAAGGAAGGAAGGGAGGGAGGGAGGGAGGGAGGGAGGGAGGGAGGGAGGGAGGGAGAGAGGAGAGAGAGAGAGAGAGAGAGAGAGAGAGAAAGAAAGAAAGGAAAGAAAGGAGAGGAAAGAAAGGAAAGAAAGGAAAGAAAGGAAAGAAAGGAAAGAAAGGAAAGAAAGAAAGAAGAGCCCTGGCTGGGTAGTTCAGTTTGTTAGAGTGTTGTCCTAATATGCCAAGGCTGGGGGTTCGATTTCCAGTCAGGGCACAGACAAGAAATCAACCAATGAATACATAAATAACTGGAATAACAAACTGATGTTTCTTCTCTCTCTCTCAAATCAATACAAAATAAATAAATAAATAAATAAATAAGAAGGAAGAGCACTAGAAATGGTAACTACATGGGTAAACACGTAACATTTGTTTTCTTATTATTCAAATCTTTAAAAAAAATAATCTGTTTGTTTAAACAAAATGATAGCAATATAGTGTAAGTTTTACAACATAAAATGTATGACAATAGCATAAAGGTTTGGAGGGAAGAAATGAAGGAATGCTTTTATAAGGTAAAAGCATGTGAAATTGTATATCACTTGAAGATAGGTTATGATAAGTTAAAAGATGTAAGCTATAAACCTTAAAGCAATCACTAAAATAAGAGTTACAGCTAATAAGCCAACAAAGAAGAGAAAATCATAAGAATAATTCAGAAATTTTAAATCATTTAAAAGTTGATTAATTCAAAAGAAGGAAGGATAGAACAGATTAAAAAATAACAAATGAGAAGGCTTAAACTTAACCATTTCAATAATCACATTAAATGTAAATAGTCAAAACACCTCAGTTAAAAAGGCAGAGATTGTATAGCATGGTGACTATAGTTAATGATACTGTATTGTATATTTGAAACTTGCTAAAAGAATAAATCTTAAAAGTTCTCGTCACAAGGAAAAAAACTTGTAACTATTTCTGGTGGTGAATGTTAATTATATTTGTTGTGGTGATCATTTTTCAATATAGATACATATGAATAGTATGCTGTAGTCCTGAAACTAATATGATGCTACATGTCAATTTTTTAAAAGGCAGAGATTTTCAGATTGGATTAAAAAAAAAAAAAAAATAAGACCTGCCCTAGCCGGTTTGGATCACTGGTTAGGGCATTGGTCCATGGATTGCAGGGTCAAGGGTTTGATTCCGGTCAAGGGCACGTACTTCAGTTGCTGGTTCAATTCCTGGCCATGTCTGGACATGTGTGGGAGGCAACCAATCAATGTGTCTCGCTCACATCAATGTTTCTCTTTCTCTCTCTCTCTCTCTCTCTCTCTCTCTCTCTCTCTCTCTCTCTCTCCCCCCTTCCAGTCTTTCTAGATATCAATGTAAAAGATATTATCAGATGAGGATTAACAAAACAAACAAAAAAGACAAGACCTACTATATGCTGTTTACAAAAAATGCATTTTTTAAAATATATTTTTTATAGATTTCAGAAAGGAAGAGAGAAAGACAGAAACATCAATGATGAAAGAGAATCATTGATCGGCCGCCTCCTGCACACCCCCATGGGGGAGCCTGAAATCCAGGCATGTGCCCTGATAGAGAATCGAACCGTGACCTCCTGGTTCATAGGTCTGTCGACGCTCAACCACTGGGCCACACCGGCTGGGCAAACAAATACATTTTAAATATACAAATATAAACAGGTTAAAGTAAAAGGAAGGAGAAAGACATACCATGCTAACACTAATTCAAAGAAAGATTAGTATACATGTTAATATTTGCCAAAGTATATTTCAAAGTAAACAATATCACCAGGAGTAGGAAGGTCATTTCACAATGATAAAAGGTCAATTCATCAAGAGGACACAACAATCCTAAATATATTTATAATTTTGTTAATACTTACCAAGGATATTTTCCCATTGATTTTTAGAGAGAATGGAAGGGAGCAGGAGAGAGAGAGAAAAACATTGATGTGAGGGAAACACATCCACTGGTTGCCTCCTGCATGTGCCCTGACCAGGGTTGGGGAACAAACACAAACCCAGGTATGTGCCCTTAACTGGGAACTGAATCCTCGACCCTTCGGTCCAAAGGCTGATACTCTAACCACTGAACCACATAGGCCAGGGCATCAGATGGCTATTATTGTGTTGGCTGTTGTCATTTTATTTGACAATCTAAGGGAAAAGAGGTCAGTGCCCCTGACTAAATAGGTACTGTATGATTTTTATTGATTTCAGAGAGGAAGGGGGAGAGGAGGAGGGGAGGGGAGGGGAGGGAGAGAGAAAGAAACATCAATGATGAGAGAGAATCATTGGTGGGCTGCCTCCTGCACACCCCCCACTGGGGACCAAGCCCACAACCCGGGCATGTGCCCTTGACCGGAATCCAACCTGGGACCCCTCAGTCCCCAGGCCGACACTCTACCCACTGAGCCAAACCAGCTAGGGCCAGGTATGGTATGTTTTAAAAATTCTTGCAGCACACTAGTGTGCCTCGCCACACGGGTTGAAAATCGCTGCCTTATAAAGGCTGTCCCAAAATTCATGCAAGAAGTAATTTTGATAGAAAACACAGGTTTATAATTAAAAATTGTAAATTTTTTATTGATTCATAAAGTATACAGTATAGGGTTATGTATGGAATAGCACATCGGGTAAATGGCCTCCACGGTTTTGCTGGCACATACGCAAAGCTGTGGTCTTCATTGTTCCTGCTCCTGGGCCATAATTGGTACTTGGTAATGCTTATCAAATTGAAGGGATTGAAATCAAAGGGCAACAGATATTAGAATCTGATTCAATAAACCAAGTGAAATTAGGCTTTTATTTATTTTTTTGTTGTTGTTAATGCTCACGCAAAATTCAAATCTTGCGTGAATTTTGGGACACCCTTTATAAATGGATAATAAATAATACTGAAATGTGCCCGAGTGTCCAGGTCTGGATAAACAAATAGACTTGTCTTCCATAGTAACTTATTTTTATTGATTTTAGAGAGAGAGGAAGGGGAGAGAGGGAGAGAGAAAGAGGGGACACAGATTTGTTGTTCCACTTATTTATGCATTCACTAGCTGACTTTTGTATGTGCCCTGACTAGAGAATGAACCCACAACTTTGGTGCATCAGGGATGCTCTAACCAACTGAGCTCCCCGGCCAAGGCCTACTTTATGGAGATTATTATGAGCATTAAATAAATTAACACATGTAAAGATAATTATTATCATCCTTTCCCATATAGTTTGATAAAGAATACCAGAAGCTATGAAAATTTTATAAAAATGATGAAAACAGCACATTAAGACACTTCTCTCAATTTAAAGTTACATAGTATTAATAAAAAATATAAAAAAGTTATATATTAATGTATTTCAGTGGGAGGGTCTGTGCTTATTAAAACAAATATACATGAATAATTTCAAGTTTGAATATGAGTCTGAACGAGTTTTTATGCTCAAGTCCAGCAGACCTCCCAAATTCTCCCTCCTCTAACTCAGATAACTTAGAAGTATTAAGTACAGGCACTATGTAAGACCTTTCACCATCAGTATTTTAAAATACCCTCATGGCTCACTAAAAATTATATGTATAATAGAGAGATGTAGTACATTCTAATACCCACTCAACAATTGTGTGACCTAACCAAAGAGCCTATTTGCTCAGTCTCATTTCTTACATCTGTGGCATATTGAAGGAAGAATGATGAAATGCCCCCCTCCATCCCCATTAGTGCACACAGCACTTCTTAATTCATGTTCATTTTCCTTTCTTTATGTTTGATGTCATCTTTCGATAGATTAAATGTGCAATTTCAACATAAATGCACATTTTTAGTGCTTCGTCAGAGACTTTACTTCAAAACCACTATGGGATTAAAATAGGGTGGGGACAATCTTCTGACAGAATTAAATAAGACAGGTACAACTTTTGTAATGAATGCCCACTTCCGAGTAAATAAGATAAAGTATTACCATAAGCTGATGAGAACCCTAGGATCACTATCACCTACTGGAAGTAGTCTCAAAAAAAAAAAAAAAAAAAAATACCTAACTCTAGCCAACCTTAATGGATTCAAAAATCATTGTTAGTAAACATTCTGGTCTCCAAAAAGACGAGACTAAATAATATTCAGCAGATTATTATTTGGGAATGTATTCCACAACTAATTTATTCTGGTTCTATTTTCCTTGGAATTAAATATTCCAGAGTACAAAATAATTTTCTTAAAGGTGGATAGTTTCATTTAAAAACCTATCTTCACCGAAACCGGTTTGGCTCAGTGGATAGAGCGTCAGCCTGCGGACTGAAAGGTCCCAGGTTCGATTCCGGTCAAGGGCATGTACCTGGGTTGCGGGCACATCCCCAGTAGGAGATGTGCAGGAGGCAGCTGATCGATGTTTCTCTCTCATCGATGTTTCTAACTCTCTATCTCTCTCCCTTCCTCTCTGTAAAAAATCAATAAAATATATTTTAAAAAAAATAAAATAAAATAAAATAAAAAAATAAAAACCTATCTTCAAGCCTTCTGAGGCAAAGCATTCTCCTCCACGTGTGGAACTCGGTTTCTGCCAAGTATTTATTTGAGAGCTGTACAAACCCGCAGAAGTCCTGGTGGTGTCAACCTTCAAGCGGAGTGGGCGGCACAGCTTTCCATTCACACGGCTCGTTTCTCTCTCAGGGGCTCTTTCTTTAAGTATATATAACAGCGGTCCTTTTGATGGCGTGGACTCGGCGTGGACGCGAAGGCGAGGGATAGCAAGGGGCTGCTCTGACAAACCCCGCAGACGGTGTGGCCCCCCGTTTCCCCGAAGAGCGGACACTGCCAGCGGCCAGACGGGCACAGGCCGGTGTCAATCTGAGCGGTCGCACCACGCTTGTTCCCTTAGGACAGACCAACCGCGCAACAGCCCAGAACAATGTTTGGATTGACAGCCAATTTCCTTCCATCTTAAGCACAACCTAACCAAACCAGTGTCCTAAACCTCTGAAGTGTAACGGGATGTGCCTTCCCTTTTCCAGGGACTCGGGTGAGAACTAACGAGGGAAACAGTTAAGGACAATAAAAGGAGATCTCAACATCTGAGGGATGAGCGAACTAGAAACCTCCGTCAGAAAACAGCAGCGAAGATGATCATCACCTCACTTATTCTTTGTCTAAAAGCAGTATTGTCTGCGAGTTCCTGACTCTGACGTGAAATAATGAACTTCCCACGCGCCGGCAGCGCAGGAGGCTGGAAGCGGCCGCCCGTCGCGTCCCCGGCAGTCGTCCTCGGCGGAGCGACCCCCCGGCCCCGCCCGCCCGCCGCCGCACTCGCGGCCTCCGCGGCCGCCGCCCCCGGCCGCCGCCCCCGGCCCGGCTCTTCGCTGCGAGCGTCACAGACGCAGAGCCGGCCACACACTTCCGCCCCGGCTCCTCCCGGAAGCCCTGCGGAGCGAGCGTCCACCCTACGGCGCCGCTGCGGGCCGCGTCCCGCCCGTCCGCCCGCCCGGTACTCACACACACACAGCTCCACCACGTACGCATAGTAGGACCACGCCACCACGAAAGTGATGAACAGCACTGGCACCCAGCCTGCGCCGCGTAGGCAGCAGCGCCAGAACCGCCCCGGCGCCATTTTCGGGGAGGCGGCAGCACAGCGGCCGTGAGGGGCGCGGCCCCGCCTCTAATGCCCGCGTCGCCTCACCCTGGGGCGGGTCCAGCAAAAGGGGCCGCGCTGGGGGCGGGGCCTCGATGCGACTCCGCCCTGGGGGCGGGGCGGGGCGAGGCGGGGCAGGTTCTGGAAGGAAAGGAGGGGGCAGCTGCCTGGGGAAGTGCTGAGGCGGAAAACACTACCTTGTCGGAGAGCTGAGCTAGTGGATGTCCTTTGTGTCTACAAACGACTCTCCTGGAGCCCGTTGTCAAGTGGGGCAGACCGTGCCCGCCAGGTGCAGGGGAGGACGTAAGTTGTAGTAAGGCTCCTCCGTGGAGGGCAATGTGCAGCTGTGATTAAGAACCGTGAACTTTGAAAACATCTGCGCAGCGTTTCAGGTCCAACCCCTCCATTTTTTGAAGATGGACTTAGTAGATGCCCGTGATTTAAGATGGGAGCCCTATAGAAGCTCTCAGTTCGATTTGAAACACAAACTGAAGGTTGAGTTGTGAGATGGGGAGCAACAGCCTCTCTTCCTGACCCCCAAGGGACTACTGAAATTTTGAGAATTTATTTACAACTGGAGTATTCTGTTAAGCAGTGCTTGTAATCATAAGAGAACATAAATGCAGCACTGTGAAGATAGCATAATACAAGTAATTCCAAACTGCATTTCCTATTGGTTGGACTAAGATTTTAGTTAGCCGCTGCTCAGTACAACTGTAACTGAAGGCAGGTTTCAGCTGCCTGCCACAAGGAAAGCCAAACTTATGAGGCAGATGCTGGTAAGAAAGAAAGTGGTTTATTCCAATGCCAGCAAACTCAGAAAGTGGGCGGGGTTCGCACCCAAAGCCCATCTTAACATCTCACCGGCAGCGGGGAGTTTTAGTAGGAGGGAGAGGGAAAGCAGAACAAAGAAACCGGGGAGGAGGGTATTTGAAAGTTCTCTATGTGTAAGACAGCGTAGTCCATGCCAATGATTATCTTGAAATTGGTCAAGCCTAGGTCTGGTTTATTTTTTTTTTAACTTTAAAAAAATGTTTTTGTTTATTTTAGAGAGAGAAGAAGGGAGAGGGAGAGAAAGAGAGAAACACCAATCAGTTGCCTCATGAACACACCCTGACTGGGGATGAAACCTGCAACCTGGGCATGTACCCTAACTGGGAATCAAACCATAAGATGATGCTCAACCAACTTATCCATACCAGTTAGGGCTTAACTTTCTTTTTTTAATCCTCACCTGAGGATTTTTTTTAAAAAATTGATTTTAGAGAGGGAGGAAAGGAGAGAGAGAAGGAGAAACATCAGTATGAGAGAAACACCAATCAGCCACCTCTCATATGCATCCTGACTGAGGATCGACCCCAAAACCTAGGTATGTGCCCTGACCAGGAATCCAATCAGCAACCTCTCAGTGCATGGGACTACACTCCAACCAACTGAGCCACCCAGCCAGGGCAGCAAAGGTTGGGTTTTTATGCTTGAGAATCAGCAATCCTCCTGGAGCCAGAATATCTGGTTGCTGGAATCATCCTCCTTCCCCAGCAGTTCCTGGAACTCTTCCACAAATGTGCAGCTTATCCACCAGTTATATATTAGTTAACAATTCATCTTCTATAAAAACACTTAAAAAAATAAAAATACTTTAACAGAAACAATATTAAAGGAATACAGGGTGGGTTACAAGGTCTTCATAAAGCATACTTCTCCCTTTTTATCATGTGATATCCTATATAAATAAAAGCCTAATATTCAAATTGTCCCCTCAGGCAGTTGTTTGAGCAGGAGACTGGGAGTTCTATCATTCGCTATGACATGTGCTGACCACCAGGGGGTGGTGCGGAACATGGTGGGCGTCAGTGACTTGCTGCGACCTCTCACCTGCTACCTGAGGGTGAGGGTGGGGGTGGGGGTGATGCGGGTGGAGGTGCAGTGAGAATGTGGGGTGTCCACTGAGCTTGCTCTCACTCCCCCTGCTACCCTCCCCCGGGACTCCAGGGCTCGCGCACCAGGGAAGCCCCTGCACTCAGGTGCGGGGTGCCTGCAAGGGCCTCTTCCGGGTGAGCCAGGCCACAGCCACCAGGACAGCAGGGGTCAGTCAAGCTCCCTGTAAGTTCAGGCAGGAGCCGGTCTGCGAGGCCAGCCAGGAGAGAGCGTGCTGCCCACCCACTCGGCTTCTGTGCGGTGCTGCTGGGCAGCCCAGAGGCCCATGTTGCATCCAGCCGCGCTCACCGCATCTCCGCGTGGGGACTCAGGCACTGTGACTCAGGCAGAAGGCCCAGGGGTCCAGGTGCTGCTCAGGGTCCAGAGGTCAGCTTGGACCTGCCTTTCCATGCCAGATGCTCACGCTTCAATCGCCAGCCAGGCCTAGAGACCACACCCATGCATGAATTTCATGCACCAGGCCTCTAGTAAATTTATAAAAGAAATAATATTTCTAGCGCTATAAATACTAAAGTGTGTGTAAAATATTTTCTCCCAGATTTTATACCTTGAAAGTCATGTTGTCAAAGTTGACTGTAGCTTCAGGGCATTAAAGTGAATCAAATTCAGCTTGTTTTCAAGAGATCCTGCTTAAGAGGGTTAGGCTTTTAAATGAAATTTGGATTGTTGACACAGAAGACCATAACTTAAAGCCTTTCCCCCTCCTGCCATCTCTACAGCTCAGCACAAATTCCATGTCCTCTGGGGGTCTTTCTTTAAAAAAAAAAAAAAAGTTTTTATTAATTTCAGAGAGAGGAAGGGAGAGGGAGAGAGGGATAGAAACATCAGTGATGAGAAAGAATCATTGATTATTGCCTGTTTCCTGCACACCTCTTACTGGGGATTGAGCCCACAACCCAGGAATGTGTTCTGACTGGGAATTAAACCTCAACTTCCTGGTTCATGGGTTGACACTCAACCACTGAGCATCACTGGCTGGGCTAGAAGTCTTACTTGATTACATCAGCTGGCAATGACTTCTTTCTGTTATGCCATTTTGCTTGTGACACGTCTATTATTTCCTAGGGCTGCCATAACAAAGTGCCACAAATTATGGCTTATCACAACAGAAATTATTGTGATGGTGGCTTGAACTGGAATGTAGCAGTGGAGAAGGTGATAAGGAAGCTATAAGACTTCAGGTCAACTTTGATGCACCCACTCTGCTCCAAAAATATAGCAGTAGTAAATGTAAATAAAAAAAAATAGAAAACCAACAGACATATTCAGGCTCAAACCTCCATCCTACCCAGCCCCCAACAAATGAAACAGAAAAAAATTGCATTGACCACCCAGCTGGTGTTGCTCAGTGGTTGAGCTTCGGCCTGTGAACTAAGAAGTGGATTCCAGGGCAGGGCACATGACCGGGTTATAGGCTTGATCCCCAGGAGGGGGTGTGCAGCAGGCAGCCAATCACTGATTCTCTCTCATCATTGATGTTTCTACCTCTCTATCCCTCCCCCTTCCTCTCTCTCTAAAATCAATAAAAACATATTTTTAAGAAATTGTATTGAACACCTCCTAGAATTGTGGCTTTTAACAGAAACTAGCAGACACACAGAAGTTTCCCGACCTGTCTTCTGGCCTAGTGACTAGATCTACAGTGTCCCCACTGTTACCACCAGCCAGAAACTTCAAAATGTCATTTTAAGTTATAGTTCTGAACTGAGAGCTGAGGTAAAATAAGGGCAACTAGAGGCATCTATGAAACCATTAAACAGGTTTTATGGAAACCATGTAGCAGTCAAGAAAATAAAACTTCTCTGGTCCAATGGAAGATAGGAAATGAAAGGGGAAAAAGCAACAAAATAGGATTGGAAACAGAAAACACACAAGAGATGAGAATGTTACAACTAGATCAGTAATTACAGTAAATACATATAAACAGAAGAACGCTATGTTTAATTTTCATATAAAGTGCATGGGGGGAAATTTGAAGCAACATGTTAGCAGCAGAGGTTGCTATTGTATTTTCCATAGTTCTGCAAAAGGTTGATACTTTTATAATCATTTTTAAGAAGAGGAAAATGTCTGGCAAACAGTAACAAGTGTTAATGTCATAATTAACAATGGGGGAGAAAAGGAGACATATGTAATACTTTCCAAAATAAAGAATTATTAAAAACAAATATCATCATTAAAAGTGCAGAGACATGTCCTATTGGTGCACCAAGAGGTTGCTGGTTCGATTCCTGGTCAGGGCACATGCCCCATTAGGGGCATGCAGGAAGCAGCAGATTGATGTTTCTATCTCTCTACTACCTCTCCCTTCCTCTCTCTCTAAAAAAAAAAAAAATAAATAAATAATAAAACTTTTTTTTTTTTAAGTGCAGAGACAGGCTTTCTGTTACAGTGGGGAGGAATCTTATCTCAGCCTTTTGGATATGCCAGAGTGTGGGTCAGGGATTAGAGCATTGGCCCACATACTGCCCACAACCCCCTGCCGGCCCCCCTGCACACACACAAAATCTTGCTTTTTATTTCTACTGACAATAAAAATAATCTTCAAGAACTTCAGAGAGTTTTGTCTTGCTTTAGGAACAAATGAGCCAGGGAAAGTTGCAAGTCTCCATTCTTTAGTGATGGGCTCAGAGAAAAGAGGAGTGGGAGCAGGTATGGGGCAGGGTGAAGAAAAGAGGGGAGTGGGGAGCTGCTTTGGAGAAGCAGAGGCATCACCAAGGCTAAAGGCCTATGTCCCTCACTTCATTAAGCTGTCCCGAGTCCTGTGCCTCCTTCCCTCCTGCCTGCTCTCCCCACACTGACAGTGCTCTTCCTCCCAGTCCTACAAATCCCTTTCTTCCTTAGTTACTCCTCCAGCAAACATTTACTGATTACCTGAGTTGTGCCAGGCTCTGTTCTAAGCAGGGGCAACAGAGACAAAATCTTGATTAGGTTGCCACTTTTGTTCTTTTTGGTATTCTGTTCAATTCCACACCAAGGTCAGAGTGAGATTTTGGAAAATCAAATCTGCTTGACATGCTTGTTTGTCCACAGTGTCCCCTCCCCCTGGTATTTTCCACCCCTCCTTCAGACCTGGGTCATCTCTGC